AAAAAAAAATAAAAATAAAAACACACATCATGGTAAAATCAATACATTCATCGCTCCGCTCAGAATCTAAAATATACAAGCATAAAAATATTTCATATTGCAAACTGTGCATAAATACCAAACATTATTTTAAACAAATATAGGTGTACCTATTTGCGTTTTAAAAATTACAAATCTCAAAATCCTTTATTCAAAAATAATTTTTATTTTGTAATATTGTTCCGTATACCAACCTATTTTTTTTTTAAATTAAGTGAAATGTCATATTATTTACAACCACATTTTTGATTAATTGGCTATAATTAATTAAATATGCTGGATCGATTATAAAATTCCTAAAATAACAAACTCAAAATGTCAAATCATTCTCCACAGTCTAAATAGTTTACAAAAGTTCAATCTTCACACAGAAAAGTTGTAGGTAATGTATATTACAATCAAATTAAAATTGAGTACACCCACTACAATTAAAACATTTAAATATTTAATAACATAAAAACTTCAATTAACAGCCGTACTAACAAAGTCAGCAATAATATAACAAATTAATATAATAATATTACAAGTATACAAGTATACAACGCATCATTAAAAAATAATACGAGTATTAGAGCTATGAAATTGAAAAAAAAACCAAAAGAGCACTTAAAAAGTCGGTCAACTCACAGATTATTACTGAAATATAGTAGTACTAACCCACTTTTACCATAAATAGCAACGATTTTATTTTCAAATATAAATTATAGTAAAAATAATTTTTCAAAAAACAGGATCATCGAGTATGTATAAAATATATAATCAATGTAATAAAATATTATATAGCAGGTAAATATTGTAAGTTGTAACAATATACCGTACGGTGAAATGAAAAAAATTACATCACTATTAATTAACTGACATTAAAACAAACAAATTAAATCATGTTGTATTTTAGTGTATTATTATGTACATACCCCACAATAAATATTAGCATGCAACATAAAAATGCTTCATTTGACGGTGATTCATCGGTTTCGGTAATTATATAATTATGGCACGTCGGACAAAACATATGTACTGGTTTTGGACCCAAAGCTAGAATTAATACGTAAACAAAATTAGTATTGTAGCCATCAGTTTTTCATTCGACCGAAAATAATTAATTTCGGAAATCTACATTGAGTATTATTATTATGGTACACGCACAACTCTGTAGTAACTGTTATTATTTTACTCATCCATATAATAAAAAAATACTATAATACACTCGAATTTTCATTCACTATTTTATTATTATATCATAGATAAAAGAATATGTTTACAAACTGTATATTATGGTAAATGTAATATAACTAAAGGTAATCTAATTATAAATTGTAAATACATATTGACCTGATAAAAGGATGAGGTGTCCAGTGACCACCACTTTTTCTATCAAACACTTCAAACTCATAAGTTAAGATTGTTAAAAAGCACGCCAAAAAAACCATTTTTTAACATATTATCAACTATGTACGTTCTAACTCCTAATCAATTTTCTTTTTATTAGTTACATTTTAGATACTTGTAAGATACATACTTGATTCTATTATTATATTATATTCAGGTGTAAAATGTTGCTGTTGCATCGTGTGATCATTCGAGTACAACAAATTTGATGGATAAATTCCTGGACTTTCGTCATACGGTGGTGGCGGGGTGCTTTCCCTCGGTATTGGTTTTGAGTTATTAGGATCCATGACTGGTACCTATTCGGTATACTTTATGTTACAAATGTACAGTGTATGATTATGTATGAACTTGTAGAACACTTAAGCGTGTTTAATAACTATAACACGATATTTTATATACGGCTGATAGTATTAGTACTTTAGTAGGTAGCATTCGTCAACTTTTAAGGTGAACATTACAAGTTTTTAAGAGCCACAAGACACTCGAGTCTAGATGTTAGTTTAAATACGAAAGACAACTTAAATTCACATTAGCACAAAACGAACAGATAAGATAAACAACTTTAATAATTATTATGTTCATAAAAATTACTTAAGACGATAGACAGATGTAGATAAGCACATATAAAATGTCACGCATAAGTACCTATTAAATAAAAATCATTTTCAGCTCATAATAAATATCGAGACTATAAAATAATTAATAATTGCATTGTTATCATTTAAATTGAAGACAAAATAACATTATTTATTAAATATTATAATATAATTAGGTACTTAGGCAGACATGTTATGCATGAATGTATATTTTATGT